GATGGGACTCTTTGGGAAAATATTGATACTGTGTATGCAGGGAACAGGTGTGACGGGGGCTTGAAAACACACACACACACACACACTCAGTGTATAGTACTGTGTTCTAATTGGTCTCACGTTACCTAGATACCGTAGCCATGGCAACACATCTCGATCATTATAAAGGAGCTGTAGAACAATTTCAGACAACGAGGGAATGTCCATATCAGCATCTCTTTTCCGGTGATCGTGTGTGTGTGTGTGTGTTGGGAATGCTCGTCTTCCTCTGTCATGATACTTTATGTACAGTACATTCAACATACTGAACAGCCTACTTTTAAATGAGCAATTCATGTTTGATGCTTTAACAGAAAACAAAATTATAAGGGCGAGTAGGGGGGTCAGAAAAGAGGGGGGGTTATTGATTTTTGACCTCTTTACACACAATTAGTGTGTATCCAAAAAAGTATTGATAAAGCTTTGGAAGGTTTTCTTTCTTTCATAAAATAAGAGTCAGCCGCTCCTAATTTCCGTACAGTCCATGAGTGTGAAGCTCTTCTTCCATGTGTATGTTTCAGTTGTATTTTCATGCGGAGTGTGTCATCACTGCCCTTCAAACTAATTTTGAGTGTGTGATTAGCTGAACAATCTGGCCATTAAAGTGAACCCCTGCAGTATTATGACCTACCGCTCAAATGAAGCTCCCATAAACAGTAAGTGGCTGATAACCTGGGGAAATGGAGCGATCAGTTAACTGCTGTTATGAAACTGCAGATGACTCAAACTCCGTCAGGATTGTAGGTTCACCGGAGCTTGTTGGACTTATCTGCTGATAGGCCTGGCCAGAGCAAACCCAAAAAAATAAATATCTTAAACATGAAGTCCTTAAAATGATTTGTAATTGTTAAGATATCTAAAATATCATTGCATGCTATAGCATCAAGATTAACATCAAGCATAAAACACTGAATGATGAAAACTTTTTCACAAGCAAAGCATTTCAGCTTTTAACTGGCCTGATTCAGGTAATAAACACTGGAGAAACCCCTTATCTTTTTTGGTTTACTTGAAAAATTACATTCTGCCTAGTTATAGTCGAGTTCTTCAAATCCAGCAACAACAGTTTGTAGAATCACTATTCAGTGGTAGTAGAAAAATCATTATACTGCTGCTTTGTTTTTCCTCACTGCAATCACCTTTTCTAATAATGCCCTCTGCTTATCACCACCCACTTACTTTGTAATATCAGTTTACCACATACACCTTCTGCAGGCTGCAACATAACTCAACTCATCCCCCAAGATAAAGTGATATAACGAAGCTAGCAGGCAGTTTTGTTTATTAATCTGTGTGGAGAAATTCTCTTTTCACTCTCTTAGAGGTCAGAGGGCAGCTTCAGATCTGCTGAGCTGGATTTAGCTGTAATGACTTGCTCAAGGGCACTTCTGCCAATCTTCCTATCTGATCTTCTTATTAAAGGTTTGTCTCATTAATCACCAACTCTGTAGCCCAGCTGACTGCTCTTTAATGCCTCAAACACTTTAGTACACAGTGGGCATCATGTAGCATATAAAAAGGTTGGTATAGGTTTGTCTTATGGGTCCATGATTTCATAATAATGTAATATAAGAATATTTATATAAAGAAACAGGTAATGGACATTTATTAGAAAGAAAACTTCAGTTTAAAACATGCAAGGAACTATTCATTTGTTATTAATCTAATCTCTTTTATCTAATACTTTTGTATCCATATATGTTAATTGATATGATGCATATTTATTTAAAATGTTTTCATGTTCAACTAAACATGCATTGCACTAATAGACTCTAAAATATAGGAATTAATTAAATGGAATTGTATCAATTGAACACTTTCTCCATTTGCCCTAATAATTACACTTTTCTCCCAGAAAACCTCAGAGGAAATCACAGACAAAGTAAAGTATTACCAAAATTTTAATTCTTGAGAATGATTTATAAGGCATGTGAAGGCATTATGGAACACAATTTCAGATAAGCTTTTGAGTTGAACTGTTGAACTTTTCCAGCACTCATGGATGTCTCAGCCTACTTCTGTGCTTAAACAAAGTCTAACAACATGATTGTAGGCATTTTCTTTAACAACTCAGAGACACCATATATCAAATCCATTGGAGGCATCATCAGACTTTTCCTGTCAAGATGTCAGTAAAATCCCAAATAAAAACGTGACACCACATCATAACATATTTGTTAAATGTGAGAGGATGACAGGTTGTCGAGTGTGCTGATCTTCTTGTGCTCTTGAAAAAGCATTGTTCAGTGTGTTTGCTTGAACTTGCACACTCAGTGTTTTAAGTGCAGCTGAACTCAACAAAAGACTTTCAGCTGCAGTTATGAAGGGCCATTTCACACTCTGTACACTGTATGTAGGTACGTTCTCACCAGGCTTGGTCGGCCATTTGCGTGTCTCTAACTTCTTTCACTTACATTATTAATGTGTTACCAGGGTGGAGACTGAGGTGTAATAAGGTGGTCACGTGTTTAGTTTATTCTGCTAAATTAAATTATCCGTGTGCTTCTGTGAGTTTCATGTTTAAGTTATGATGTTCCAAATGGATAAACCTACAGTTGAGAGTCTTTCCACTCTCTGGTTTTCTTTTTGTGATTTTATGCTTTTAATCCTTAAATCCAGTCCAATTAAAACACAATGTGCAGGAATGAATGCGTTCGCGTGCATAAATGTGTCTCCCTACCACTCTTTGAAGAACCTATCTGTGTGTGTGTGTGTGTATCATGTCTACAGGAACAGATTCATCCAACCACTCCACCAGGTTAAACTGATGATGCCAATAGCTTAAGTAGCGTTGCTGTTTCTTCCCGTCCGGCTGTATTGATCCTCCCTCCTCAGGGTGGCCATCCCAAATTAGCAAATGGATAACAGCACCTTGTGAAGCAATTAATTTGGCCTCAGAGGATGTCTTCGTTCTGTTTGTTGGTCCATGTGGGAATATAGATAAAGGGACTAATGTGGGTTATTATCAGCTGCTTAGGAGAAATTGATTCACATGGTTTGCCACAGCCCAGGGCATATGAGCTGTTTGATGCCGGAGAATAACAAGAAACATCTTGCAGGAAGGTAGGCCTTAATAGATGAATACTAATGGCACCAAGCACCATAGATAATGCCATATACACTGAATGGTAATGCCACCAAGTTATAGGTTAGGGTTGGATGATAAAACACAGTTTTAAAGGCTCTGCACATGCATGCAGGTGTTTTCAGTTAACCTGTTCGACCTCTGTAGGGTAAAGCTCAGCTGGGAACGATGTAAAAGACCTGTGTGGGTTAGATCATGACACCTATGCTAAGGCCTTTAAAATCAGCAACACCATGAACCTCTTACTGACCTTTTTAATAGATAAATCATCTAAATATGATATGAATGAATGAGAGAGAAACATGAGGGGGGAAGAATATTAAAAACTAATTTTAACATAATGCAGTCCAGTATGACGTCACCTCTCACTGTGTCCTCAGTTAGGAGAATAAAGTTTTCCTTCTTTGAAACAAAAACTGACCATTATAAACTTAGTAAGAGTAGAATATGTGGCAGAGCTATTGTTTAGTTTTCAATAAGGGGCCAGAGTGACAGTTTTTACAGATTTTATATCACATTGTTCCATCTTAAGTCCTGTTGTGTTTTTTCTTTGTGCTTTGCTAGAGCACACTCTGTGCAGCCTGAATGGACACTGTTAGAAATGGAAGAGCAACATGGAGTGACAGATGAAAAAGGTCATGAGCTGGACTAATGCTTCCTCTAACCCAGACAAGCCAACGTTGCTGTTCTCTAAAGGTTGATAAACTCAATCCCTGGTGCCGTTTGAGTGGAGATAAGAGCAGCAGACTGCGTACGGTGGCCTGCTGGGACTGTTGGGACTGCTGTGCTCCAGAGCGGAGAGAAAGTTTGATAGAGGCATCGCGAATAAAAACCTGAGAGAGATTAGCACTAATGAGCTGCGACTCAGCCGTGGAGAGAGCGGACTGTTAATGACGCGCTGTTGTTCTGCCTCTCACTGCTTCTCTCTCCCTCTCAGACACACATATGTACATTCACATGCACATCTATATGCACCAGGGGATTTGGTATGAGCATCATTACCATCCTTCCTGCAGCCTTTCTCCTGCCTGGGTTTTTGTTTCTCACTGGGTTTTTATTAAAACTGTTATCTGAACACATTTAAATCGGACAGCTGGAGCTGCAGATACCTGAGGTTGTTTCAGGGAATTTTGCCAAAAACAAGAGGCTGCGGGATTAAAGACGTTCTTAAGCCTAAGAAGGCTCTAAAAGCCAAGCATAAGGCAACATGATGTCAGGCAGTAAGCTTAGTAAGCTAGGCTTTGTCCTCTTTCACCTTCAGCATCTGTCCTGGCATGTTTTCTTCCAAATATGATCAATTATTGATGGGGAAATCAGCATGAAGGAGGCTGTCAGGGTGCATTTCTTCAGTGATGCATGACGAGGGAAACCTTGTTTGGGGACCAATTGTAAGTGTGTGTGCGCAGGTGTGTGCAGGTGTGCATACATTCATACTGTAATCTATATGTGTGTGTGTGTGTGTGTGTGTGTGAAACAGTAGGAAAATGGAGCAAGAGAAGGAGAAATGCAGTCCTGCAACAATTTATTAGAACTCAGAATGTAATATAATAAAAGAACAGAGCAGAGGGTCTAAAAAATAAGGAAGCTGAGTCAGAGAGCCATAAAAGAAGTAGCTGAGTAGCACAAGAGAGGAAAATGACCGTGAGAGTTTGGACTGCTTATACACTTTCTTATTCTCCACTGTGTTTTAAGAACCCTCTCCTTGAATCCATTTACAATGAAGATGAATCCCAGGTTGATATTTTGGGTTCTCATTGTAGAAACACAGTGTAGAGGACAGTAGTGCAGGTGGTGGAAAAACACAGATGCATTTTGTTTTGTTCTGTTTGTCTCTCTGACTCTTTCCTGTTTTTATTTATTTTCTCTGTTATTTCAGTTTTTCACAGACCCGTGTGCCAGCAGCCCCTGTCTCCATGGAAACTGCAGCCGGAGCGATGGTGGGGAGGAAGGGGAGCCGGCCTACACCTGTGAGTGCACTGAAGGCTACGAGGGGGAGAGGTGTGATCAGATCCTATTGGACCTGCCGGCTGCCGACTGGGACCCCGCCACCCCCTCCGCTCCTGAGCTGGCTACCCCCGTCGCCTCCACCACCACGGCTGCCACTCAGCCGCCACAGCCAACCACCATCCCCTCCACCACAACACCAGCCTCTCCCACCCTGCAGCCATGGCAACCCAAACCTGGGCAGAGGCTGTTGGTGGTGCCGTGGGAGGCAGACAGGGTGAGATAACTTACGGCCTAAATTTAAGATCCTGTGATTTTATCTTTAAAATGTATAAAGAACTAACACATGTTGTGTGTGTGTGGGTGTGTGTGTGTGTGTGTGTGTGTCAGGTGACGGAGGGTCTGCACTGTGTGAGTCCTGAGCTGTGTGAGTTGACATCAGGAACTCTGACTCTATCTCTGGAGGTGCCTGAAGAGACGGCTGTAAAGTAAGAGTAACATTAAGTACCTTTTTATGACTGACCACTATTCCCTCAAAGCAGGGCTGGATTAACAAGATAGGGGGCAGAAATTTGCTGTGGGGCCCCCATTTATGCACAGTTTTTCTCACTCTCTTTGCTTTGTATCTACCCTGTCACCTTTATCAGTTGCAGTTTGCACAGCAGACTGTAGATGACAGCTTATATTTGGGCCATGGACCCAGAAACCAAATAAGGCTACTATTGTTGAGTACTGTCCTGCTATAGGTTTGCTTTGTAATTTGATTAAATTCACATTGTAATAAATGTAAGCATGTTATCAACTAAAATAATACAGGTATTAAAACTAGACATTCACTTTTATATTGTTTTTTAGTGGTACATGATCCCTAGCAAACTAATTGCTATGCAGTGAAGATGAGGGCCTACTTTCCCTCCCACGTTGCCTCCGTGCCTTCAAAAAATGTGCACCAAAAAGCTATTTATGGCTTACCACATACTTGCCTCTAAGACTGTAGCTTACTCCTTTGAATTAATAGCAGTGGTGGAGAGTAACTTAGTTCTTAAAGATCCAATGTGCAACATTTAGAAGAATCTATTGGCAGGAATGTAATATAATGGTCATAACCATGTTTTAATTAGTGTTAGTCCTTACCTTAGAATGACACGTTTTCATCTACAGAGGAAGCAGGTTCTCTTTAAGTCTGCCATGTTTCTACAGTAACCCAAAATGGACAAACCAAACACTGACATAAAACCTTAAACCAGATCGATCAGTGACACAGTGGTTTCAGCTTATTGTTAAGTAAGGACACAAACATGCAGAATCCAACCTAAAACTGCCTTAATGAATAAAATTCAGCCTGCTTTTTGGATCCCTATTAACAAGAATAACAACAAAGCAGGCTGTACAGTATATTGTCTGCATAATCACCACAAAGAAAACAAAACTTTCCATGCAGCAACTTTTGTTAGCAACATAACACAGCTTGTAGCTTTTGTAACTAATAACCTTCCATTTGAATCCCCTCGTGACCTGAGACACTGTATTACCTGTATTACACAGGTGTATTCCATCTTCTCAGAGCATGTTTGCTCATAAACAGTATTACAAAGGCTCAGTAAATAAGGGTCAATGAATAATGCAAAAGAAATGGTCAAGGCGAACGTTGGATGTCCTTGATGTTGCCCCTCATTATAGATGGTAGGCACGACTCTGGGGCCTGATCATGATCGCAGACTGGGAGCTGTGAGTTAATCGACTGCTGCTGCTGATGTTTTTTTTTTTATACTGTATAATTACACACGACACCTGAACGCACACCGAGACGCAGGCAGTGAAGGACACTTATATTACAAACACACATGCACCACTTGCAGATGAAGCAGTGATCAAAAAGTGACATCGTTTTAGAGAGGCTGATAATAATGTAATAAAGCTCTTGTGTCCCAAAGGGGGCTGGAGAGAGAGGGAGAGGTTGTCATACCACTGCAGATACTCTCTGTGTGCCAACAATTACAGATACAAGCATTTTACGTAATAATATCACTGATGTTGAGTATTACTCAATATTAACTCTTTTGAATAATAGTCTAATTAATGTAATGGCTTCGAAACAATAATGAATTAAGTTTAAAATAGCTGACTGGCCACTCAATTAGAATAAATATGACAAATGAGATGAAAAAAACAACATTAAATGAAGCCTTCCTACTATGTCTAACACAAAATATAGACCATCATATTAAATAGCTATCCCTGACCAAATGGCTCATTTCAGCTTGAAGTAGCAGTAGTTCCTGCAGATATCTGAGCTCTTCGTGTTGTCCCTCGGGCTGAGCCCAGACACCCTGCAAAGGAAAACTAATTTCGGCTGCTAGTCGCCTGTCCACCATCTTATTATTTCGGTCACCGCTCATAGCTTCACCTTCAGGCTCAGCTCCCTCTTCGCCTCTACAATTTGGGACAGCCATTGTGCCGATCCACCTGTGACGCCCCCTCGACCTAAAATATATCTTTTTACGTCCTGAGCTGTGCTCGGCAGACCTTCTCTGAAGGTCTGGAGTTGGCTCGTGTAAAGAGCAATGTCAAGTTTTCTCTTTCATCTAAATAGTCACTTTTAGAAAACATCTTAAAAATTGGGTTTTGGTTAAGATTCATGGATTATAATTTTCTCTGTTTTATCCAGATGTGTGGGGCAAGTTTGGTATTTAATTTTCCAATATCAAATCAAACAGCTTGTGGCTAACACTATGAAAAGTACTGTATAGGTAATGACAGTAATTGTTGTTGTTTTTTAGTTATGCAAGCAGTCATTAAAACAGATGCACAAAAGCGAGGGCTGAGAGGATAATCAACAATTTGTTATTTGTTTTTGTTAATATGAGAATGATTATTTCAGGTGTGGGAGTGAGGTTAGAGGAGTGCTTAAAAGCATTTAAATGGTCACTGCAACTGTTTAGCTGTCTCTCTCTTTCATGAGGACTTCTTTCAGTGTGGTAACTCCGCTCAGCTCTGGTGTTTGCCGTCTCCTGTGCAGGTTTGCAGCTGCTGTAGCTCAGTGTCTTTATCAGGTAACATGGCCTGCATTGTTCTTTGCACTGACCGCTGCTCAGATGTTTACAGCCTCTTCAAAATCATCCTTAAACCTCCTCAGTTTATCCAGTATTAGCCATATTAGTATAAAGTATTATATCAAAATATTTACCAAAGTAAATCCATTTAACCATTCCTTTAGCACTAGAAGAAAACTAATGTAGTGCCCAGAACAGAAAGGGTCAGTAATTTTAATGGCTATCTGCCCATTTAATTTTGATATGTATGGTCGCTCCTTCATGGCAGTGTATGGATGAGAGACCAGGATGTTCATTAGCACAAAGTTAAGGGCATTATCTTGCAACAGCATTAAAAATGGATGACTGTTTTGTAATAGGAACAGCGTCTGAGCATTAGGTGCCCATCCACACTTGTTTTGCTCTCATATTTTTCTCTCTCAATGTTGAACCTGCATCTTTCTCAGTGTCTCTGTTGTTTCGTCTTGGTTTTCACTATTTTGTACCAATTTGTCTGAGGTCCTAATGAAAGATAGCCCCAAACACACTGGCTGTGTTACACAACTCTGGTCAGTATCACCCCCACTGAGTCAGACCTCTGACAGCCATTACTCACCAGCCCTGCCCATGATGCCAGGTTGGAGTATCAAACAGGAAGACTGTCCTTTAATAATCAGTTCTGGGTTCAAACACAAGACAATGTGTCCATCAGTAAGAGACAGACTGTCAGCGGCTGACCAGAAGGAGAATGGAGGGTGATATATTAATAAGCTTCTTATTTTGACTAAAATGAGGATTAGAATAAATAGAGACTATATAGAGGATTAGTTTATCTTATCTTTCATGCTAATTTTGTTGACATTTTAATACTGTTTAAGATGTCTGGCAAGATGTTGGAAGTATTCACTGGATATACAAAATAATGAGGGTGCAGGATGTGGATTGTGTTTCTAATATTTTGTGCATTAAATATATTTCTTCTGGTACTATCCATTATTTAAACTGTAAATGCTGCAAAACCCAGTAGTACAAAAGCTGAGAAAGCAGCTGAGAATTGTCACCAATTAAAAAGGGATCATGGCAATCGGTATAGGCTTGTGGTTTGGGAAACAAAGCCTAAAATAGCCTGATTCTCTTTTTGATTCTCCTTCCCCCTTTATCTCCTCACCCTGCATCCTTCCCTCCCCTACTTTGTCTCTCCAACTAGGGTGGTGGTAAATGCCAGTGGAGCTCCAGTGCTGTGGCGTGTGAACGAAGAGGGTTTCCTGCGTTCATCCATTTTGAATGGGACTACGATGTGGTTCCTGCAGGCCCATGATGGACTGGTGGTGCCAGACCACTCACTGCCCCTGGGACAGAACTACTTCCTCAGTAAGATGCCTCCAGTCTCCTAATGAATAGAAACAAATGAAAGAGTTTTAAACAACTATATTCATCCGGGGTATATTTTATTGTAAACAAATGAGTGAGAGGTTAAAGGATTTTACCGAGGTTCATTAGCTGAACTGCAATTCAGAATCTAGACCTGTTACAATGTCACAACAGTCTTTCTGCAAAGAAAAATATATTAGTGAAACGGCATGTTGGTGAATCACATACTGTGTAAGGGCAGTTAAATGACTAAAACTGAGTTGACTGAGGTTTACCTGTTTGGATAAATGTACTTCAGTTATTTTAGTTTTGAAGACAAAATTATTTGGTGAGAAAAATCTTGATAAATCATTCAAGTCCTCGCCAATGACCCAGTATAATGGTAAACCATAGTTAACCAAAATGCTCTAAGTCTCTTCGAAATTTGGGTTTTTAAAATAATTATTTGGCAGTGACATGTAGCAGTTGGAACTAAATGACCAAACAACAACCGAGCGCACCAAAAACATTAGATGGATGGTGAAAAATGTGTTAGTTGAAACTATGGTGGACCACTACAACTGACATATTGACCAGTGTGCAGATAGTGTTAAATACCCACACAAGTCCAAACGAATGCTGAATTGTGAAAAGATGTGTTAATCCAATCCAGCCTGTTTTTCTCGAGCCATTTGTGTCTCTATCAGAACAAGATCAAGTGAAAAAATGTAGCATTTTCAATTATAATCTATCTCTATATCTTATTATTATATCTATTAACATGGTTTAACAACCATAGTGAAGCTAAATAGAAAACATTTTGAAAAAGCTCCAAAAAGCTCATTTACAACAGAGCTAAAAACATCTGAGGATTAATGAATTTAAATAAATTGTATTTACAGCTTTTATTCCTGACATTGTCATTGAGGAAAATCGCATAATATTTGCATATATGAGTCACAATGTTGTATTTACATACTGAAAAAAAAAGATATTCATGCTGATACTCTCTACTATCTGTATTTTAATACTGAGTATCACACACACACACACACACACACACACACATTTTGTGAAAGAGTACACAACTGTGCCAAAACGTAGTGTAAGCTGCAGTGGTTGCTGGAGGGGGGTAATTGGAGTCTTCTTTGACTGAAGGGCTGGTTGACCTCTGTGTGTGCTCAACATACCTGATGCTGTTTCACTACACTGCTTGTCTCTTGACCTTGATATGTCTCCTAACTCTGTGGCAACACAGCCTCTGCCTCGCCTAAGAGAGAGAGAGAGAGAAGGGCAGATGACATTGGGGAGTTAAATCAGAGGGGAGGAAGGATAATGGAGGGTGGGAGAGAGTCAGATAAGGAGGGAGAAAGACGGGAAAGAAGAGATGGCAAGACAGGAAAGGATTAGACAAACGGACAGAGGATGCAGAAGGAGGGAAGAGTGAAGGTCAAAATGCAAGAGGAAGATGAAGATGCATGCAAAGCATCAGTAAGGAGGGAGGAGCAGTGACATTGCATTTCCCTCTTCACACGTCACTGTGTCTGAATGTTGCCAATGTGCTTTCACAATTTGAAGGCGCTGTGACTCTGCAGGTCCAACATTCGATGTCATTGGGCTGACGATCGTTTGTTCAGGGGTGGCAGAGAAGCACGAGTTGTTTTATCGGCCCTCTGATTGGCCGAGGAGCTTGCATCATTGATGTCTCGTCATTAGTGGACTCGCAGCTCATTGGCTCAGATCAGGCTCTAAAAAATGGCAGTTAACATTCACTATGAGGCTATTTTTATCTGAGTGCCCATGTAGCTGTCAGCTTTGATTGAAGATATAATAGCAGATGTTCTGAACTTATAGACCCACAGAGACAGGACGGAGAGGCACAAACTCTATTTTGGTCACAATGAAAATCTGCCTCCATCAGTTCCTTTCTGAATACTTTTAGCCACATGGGAGTGTATGGGATTTTTTGGCAGCGAGGTGTACTTTACAGGCAAGGAACCAATTAAAATATGTTCCAAAACATTTGTTAACAAGACAAGAGTCTACAGCATGCCTAGCAAGCCGTGAGCTGTACTTAGGCTGACACTTTTTCTTTCAGTAGCTTTCAAGACATCTCTCTCAAAACCACGAATGTCAACCTCGTGGTAGTAGCAGTAGAATGCATCCTCTGGTGACCATGGATACCTCCAATGCCAGTCTTCTCTTCAAAGACATGAGGGTCACATATTAAATACTATCTGGTACATATTATTGGAATGTAATGAATAAATGAATAAAAAGGCTATATGAAATGTTTATTCGGCCCTCAACTCCTCTGTGGCAGGTGTGTTGCGTGTGGGCGCCCCCACAGCCCCGGAGGTCACCCTGCGTCTCAACCTGACGGTGAAGGCCAGCAGCTGTGTGGAGCCTGGCAGCAGCTTCAGTGACCCTCAGTGTTCAGGGAAGGGCAAATGTATCACACAGCCCTCTGAGGTGAGTAATACCAGAAATAAAATCATCAAAGCACAGGATTTCTTCTTAACAAAACAACATTTAAGATTTAGTGCGAATGAAGCTGAAAGGAGGAAAAACCTGTAGTAATATTTTATAGTTGAATAGGAAATTCTATAGAGACCAAGAGTCCTGAAGTAGGCAAGTTTCTTTTTGCTGTTTGTATTGGTTGCTTTTCATGCTTTCAACAATCACTCACTTCACACCTTAATGATACAACAATAGTCCAACTGCAAAATATGCAAAAGCAAAGTTTCCATATTGTTATATCTCAACATTATCACTGCAGCTGCATCATTGCATCCAGTGATACAAGCACCTTTTGATCATTATTCACAAAAGTATAGCAGAAAAACCCTTGGTTTCACTTCGCAGAGAACAGTGCAGAGCACAACAGAAAACAAAAGAACAAAAGCCTGAACAGTACAGAACCACACAACGCAACGCCACAAACTACAGCAGTGCAACATGAGCAAAAGTTATTCAATTTACAGTTTTGTTCATTATCTGTTGTTGGTATAGCAGCATCTGGACAACAGAGAAATGATTTGTTGGACCCCTTTTATATCCATATGTGGCACTAAAAGAGATGTAGCAGCAGCGACTCACACACTGTGTTTAAAGTTGGAGGTGTCGCAGAGCTCACCTTCCTGTTGTCGTTCCTGCTCACGGTTTCAGAAAATCAAACACAATTCCTTCTTATGTCACTGAATTCTTTTTCTAATTCATCATATTTCACAAGTTTCTCTTCTTTTGATCCCACATTGTCTCCCATTGTTTCACCTTTAAGACTTATTGATTTGATGTGTGAAATGTGTGTATTTGTGTTTTCTACAGAGCACTTTCTTTTGCGAGTGTGAGGATGGGTACACTGGTATCTTCTGTGAGGAATTCGATGCCTGCCACCACAGACCTTGTCGCAACAATGGCACCTGCACTGACGTTAGACAGGGGGGTGAAGGACGCAATTTCACATGCACCTGCCCTCCAGGTGTGTATGTGCAAGCCTTTCTACGTGGTCCTAATTTCAGGACTGTTGGTGATATACTGTTTCTCACGTGTTTCTCTGCCTGACTGTGTGGTCTTGGTTGGTTTTGTAAGAGTTGTGCAGATGTAAAAAACTGAAAACCTCTCTCTTTGTTCAAGAAAATCTCTGAATAAGTACACAGCAACAGAGAGTTTACTGAACCTTTGATCTTGTCAGATGTATTTTAGGACAAGGATTTGAAGCCAGGGCCTCTGGTAGGAAGGTAAATGTCAGAGGTGACCACTGATTGCCTGTCACTTCCCATTAGGGAATTGTGCTAACAAGCCCTAGTGTGTGCAGGTAATGAGAAGCAGCATTGTCAAATTTAGTTTAACTGGGTGGCTCCAATCAGTGCATTTTGTAGACACTGATGACTTATTTAAATTTAATTTCTGTATTTCTTTATTAGGATCCCAATTAGCTACTACCATGATTGCTGCTACCCTTCCTAGGGTTCACAACATGTCTATATTATAGACAGCAGGCAAACATTCACATGCAAGTAATAAAACACAATGTTTCATAACTAGAAATTACAATCAACTTGTGTGTATATCGTAAATAACGTAAAATCAAGTAGAAAACAACTAAAACTAAACAAAATTCCAACTTTACTGTAATGGTAGCTGGCTTTGTTTTGCATTATTCATAGTTTAAACAGATTGCTTTTAGTTGCATTTAAATGTAATAAAATAAATCAAGTAGTCTGACTATAAACTGCGTGTTTCTCAGGTTATGAAGGGGAGCGCTGCCAGTTGCTGGTTGACCACTGCGGATCTCAGCCCTGCAAGAATGGAGCCACGTGTTTCAGCAGCCTGGCCGGGCCCAGGTGCTACTGTCCCGAAGGTAGGAAACCCATCACTGCATGCTGGAATAAATCTGTGTTTGTATGTGTGGTTTGTGTGCCTATTATAGAAGTGACTGCACTTTAATGTAATATCAGTTATATATCTGTATTAAAACATAAAATCAATTCTAATTCTGACACAAGGATATAAATAAAAACAGATATACACAGTCCATCTGGGTTGCACAAGCATCTCTGCCAAGAAACCCAAACAGCTGGTGATGTTTGTGTATCTTTGTGAAAAAGAAAGAAAGAAAGAAAGAGGAACATATAGACTGAAATAAGTGTGTACATCCTGCAATAATGTTTTTCAGCTGTCTAATTCTAGTTATTACACTCTGTGTGTCTGCTGCGTGTTTAACTGTATCTGTGCCACTGAGATGCTTAATTTAAACCTTCCTCCTCTACTCTAATTAGTCTTCATAGCCTCAGCGACCTGCATCCGCCTCTCTGGGGAAATCTGTGACCGCAAAACTTCTGCCAAAACAGCATTTCTCAACAAGAAGCCACTAGTTTGCGATTAACGTACACCATATACCGACAACAGTGTAGATAGAGTGTGTATGCACACACACACATGCAAAAAACATGAGGTAACAATGGATCCTATCACATAAACAAAGAAACAGCAGATGGGTGTAAAACCTGGGCGAAGGCTGTTTTATAGTTCCCGGTACAGCTCCCAGCAGTCAGTTCATTCTGGATTTCATTCTGGAGTCATCACTCACGTTGCACCTGACCAAATTGTTAATCTGCAGCTGCCAAAAAAACAAGGTCTCCAATGTGGAAAGGAATTCATAATCCACCACTTGTGTATTTATTTTCATAAAAATGAGAGAAACGGTGGTGAGAGCGGCGGTGAAAACCTCGCCAGCACCTCTTAATTAGTGCAAGGAGATTGTGAAGAGAGAGGGCTTTTAGAAATTACATGGGTTTATTGGATAATTCTGTGGCGGAAGGAACTTTGACGTTTTGGACGAATTACTCCTCTATGTGTGGATATTTACAGGGGGGCAGCAGGGTAATACAATCAGTAACACTGCAATGGATTAATTTTTCTGTTTAATTGTTGGTTAGCTTATTTAAAAAAAAAAAGTGGCCAGTAGAGCATTTTAGAAAGCATGTCTGGTTCACTGCCAGTGGGAACGGAGCCATTGTTCTGTTACCCAGAGCTATTAGAGACGCACGCCTGTGACAAGTCAAAATATCTGCTGTGAATTAATTCAACATAATAAAACATCCAGATTTGTTCTCATAAATACGTAAATGTTAAAAAGAGTCAATATAGTAAGTGCTGAGAAAGTGATGCGCAGAGACAGTATCTGCACTGACTGACCAAGAAAAAAAAGAGCTCCACCCACAAACTCAAAATGGGAAATCCATAGAAAAAGATGTCTGAGTATCGGACTCGCTGTTTATTAAGCGATAAATCAATTATTGAATCATTATATATACTGTCAATGATCAGAATGCCCGTAATTATGCAGAGCTTTAAGCCTTAAAATAATTTAAATGACAGGTCAGGGTTAATGGGATGCAAAATTATTACGGAAAATGTGAGTGAGCTCCTGTACAGTAATGTAAAGTTTCCAAGTATAAAAGAGCATTTCATCTTGTATCTAAAAATGATTTCATTAACATTACAAGTCCAAGAATGCTTTACATATCCTTTGTGTAAAACCTTTCAGTATGTAGAACAGGGGACAAGAAGAGAGACAAGAGAAAGGACAAAAGTTATGTTGTTCTTTTTTCATTCATCTCCCTCAGTAAGTCTTTATCTCTTTGTTTGGAGCAGGAGTCACAAGTTCTTTTTGGTCTTTTTGTTCCTGTTTCTCTAGGACAGAAAACAGTAGAAAGCTTTACAGTAAGTAGTCATAATTAGGACTTTATTTGTACAGTAGTGACCTCCAAAGGTAAAAAAATGTAAGCACACTCAAACGACCAAATCAACACGCACAGAGGACAGATTCCCATATTTGCATGCTGTTTAGGCAGAGCAGATTGCCAGGATCTGCCCCCCAACCCCCATAAATCACCTCCATGTTGTCTTGCAACGTTCCTGCACAGACACAAGCAATAAACAAAATGATGGATGGCATGACAACTATAGCAGCTGTCATCAGAGATGTATGAACCCTGTGATCACTGGGCAAACTATGAGAGGAAAAGCTGCATTTTTATTTGCATCATAAGGGAGGCAGAGATATTTAAAATAGATTCACCCTGCAGGGCTAGGAGGTAATATTTTTATCTAATCTAAAAAACCTACAGATTTCCAGAGAGAACTTGAGCCACATAACAATTAAATGGACTTGAGCGGTATCCACATGTCAACCTATAATTATGAACTACGGAAGTTATAACAGTACAGTCATACTTGATTATCATTCATACCATGATGTTGTCAACAATCAGATTTTTTTTTTGCAAATTAAAGCAAGTATTACCACACAAGTCATCGACAAAAGAAAGATTTTATCATTTCCTTATAGCTGCCAGATATCTAGTTTTCCTGAGGACCCATTGTTCCGACGGCCTATTATTCCATACCCCTGTAATCGGGAAAATGTCAGACCGAAAGCCTATTTGGAGTTTTTTTACCCATAATATCTTAGTGTATTTGTCTGTGCAGAAAAGGACAAAGTCAGGTGACCTTTGTCGTCATGGTTATAATAATAAATACGTGGTTAATATTATGAAACATTCACAACCACTTGTTACGGTTTAGCTAAAGATTGAGTCAGTATTATGTACTACTAAGCTGTTCACTTGAAGGCCGTTTCTCTAGGGGATCTTAAACATGTAAATTTAAATGATACAAATGATGTCTCTGGGTTTCTACTCTATGACTGCCTTCCCCCTTTTTACTCTCACACTCTCGGTTCAAGGTAAAGTGATGAAGAAGTCAAATCTGTATGAATACCATTAATAATATGAATTTTATGGATGTGCTCAAATAAATTTTGCACCCCGACTCCTCGGAGACTACCCCACTCCTTTTAACTTTATTTCACTCACACGCATGCACTTTATCTTCTGCTCTCTCACACAGTTGCACACACTGACAGAAGAGAACGTGCGGGTGTGACTGCCTCCAGAATTAGCAGGGCGGGGGAGCTAAATTTAAACTGTTAACTGCTTTTAATGTTGGCAGGTTTGAATGCCAGCCGCAGGAATGAACAGCGCTCTTCTATGTCGGCCATGTCTCACGTCACAGTGTGTGTGTTTGTGTGCGTCTTTAGATAGATGTATAGACAAATAAGACGTGGAGCCTCTTCAACAGATTGTGTACGGAGCAAAGAAGCTAAACACAGAGGAAAGCAATGAATTAAACCATGACAGAACAAATACAAATCATGACATTAAATATATGCAAGAGCTTGTGAAAGTGTGTGCACGGGCCTAGCATCTCTCTGTGTGCAAGCATATAAAATAGAAAGGGAGAAGAGATAAGGGAGTTTGGAAGAAGGCAATGGAGCGAAAAAGGAAAGGATGAAGCACATCAAGGTAGTGGACAAAGAGAGAAGGAGAGAGCTTGGGTGAGATTTTCCCCTGACTACAGCAGATTACTCCAGTCTCTCTGCTGCTGAATGATAAATGTCCTCCTCAGTTGGTGAAATAAAGACTTGCAGATCAATGGATGCTTGAGAGAGATCTCTTCATTAGCTCAATGGAGTGTGCACTCTGGTGCAGTCAGCACAGGGATTTACTACGGTGTTACTGTAAATCAGAGGACCCACACACACACACACACACACTATCTCACAGCAAGCTATGTGCGTATACACACACACACACACACACACCAGAGTCTCTGCAGTACAATGGCACTTCTCATGGGAGGTGCTGACAGAGGAGGAGAAGGGGTGGAGGAAAGAGGGAGAAAGTTATTTTTAGATGAGGAGGATAGGTGAAAGTAGCAAAGGCTCACAAGCTAATGAGAGGAGGTGAAGAAGAAACCACTGGCTTCGACATACAACCACTCACCCAAAAAGAGAAATGTGGAGTGCATGGGTCTGCACAAAAGACACTCAACACCCTAATGCAGATGGGCATTGACGCACAGAAAGCATGACAGAAAGACAACCATGCTCCTTCAAAGATACTGGTGTAACACAATAGTTAGACTTTCCTGTCAAAAAACAAGAATGAATTCTCTGTTAAACTGCTTTTGTCTCCAACAGCGAAGAGGAATGGATAAAAAAAAAGAACATTCAAATTGCTCTAGGTTGTGATTTTGGGTGGTAGATAATGACAGAACCGAACCACTTGCTGTCTCTTTCTCAGTATATTACCACCAGGCTTAAAGGAGTAGTTTTACATTTTGCGAAAGACACAAATTCGCTTTTTTCTTAAGAGTTATATGATAAGATTTATACCATTCTCATGCATGCATGAGATATAGCAGGCTGTTAGCTTAGCTTAGCTGACTGTAAGCAGGAAAAACGGCTGGCTTGGCTCTGTTACAGCTCCCCCATGGATTAAAGTGTTTACATTGGTCCATTTGTATATGAATAAAACACATTAGATCCAATATGTTATTTAGTAAACTTAGCTAACTGCTGCCTCCCATTCTGTATGCTAATCTGTGCTAAGCTAAGCGAATTGCCTTCTACATTCATACACTAGAGTGGTATCTATATAACTCAGGATGTGTGTCAGACACAGAACTTTTCAAGCTGTTCATTGCATGAAAAAGATAATTTGGTTTAAAGTCTGAAATATTATTGGACAGTTTTGTGGAAGCTTGCCTAATGTACTTACAATTACTCTGTATATATATATTATTTTGCTTTCCAGGAGAAAATGGGGTTCTTTGCTTCAAGAAAAGCCTCTAATGTAACTCTGTGGTTGATTCCTGCAGTTTAATGACCTGCACTGTACAATTTTGAATCTATGTGGAATTAATTACTGTGCTGGTTGTGTAAGCAGGACATTTTATGTCAGAATGAAAACATATTTGTACTCCCTGGTGTCATGAGTTTTGATTAAGGTACCCACACTGAGTGAAGCACGTGTAAATGTGTAGCAATTTGTAAATGCACAGCATATGACTTAAATTAGAGATTGCAGCTAGAGCAAACAGCTGATTCCTTCTGCCTTTGGATGGTTACACAGATAAATAATCTGAAAGGGAAGGCTCTTAAACGTACTACAAGCAGTTGTGGGTGACATTACTGGTAACAGTCATTTAATACAACACATTAGAGAATTTAAAAATCTTATTATTATATGTATTTAATGCATTGTTTCTCCTAAATGCCTGGAACGGGAGGTTGAGGCGAGGGCACTGCAATCAGCAACTACACCGGCAGATGCCGCTAAACCTTACACACTGGACCTTTAAATCAAAGTAAAAAAAACAAAACTCACAATACATTTACGTCTAGAGGTCTTTGTGTGTGCCTCTGACACCTAAACACACACACAAAGTGCTATGTCAGCTCATTTGCAGTAAAATGTGCTCTTAGTTAACAGAAGAGTAGGTGCAATTTCATGCCAAAATGGATGTCACATCGCACAGCACCTCCTGATTTGCATAAACACAACTCCTGCTATGCCGCTCTGCCACCTTGTTGCAAGTAGGTTTATTTGAAGCCTCAAAATGATCAGACTTGAGACCAAATTGACTTTTTGCCTGGAGAATTTCCAATCCGCCTGCACTTGCACCGCATCGTTCTGCTCTAACTGCTGTTTAATGTTTGTTAGTAGATAATATAGTAGTAAATAATATTTGTATATGTCTGTGTATGATAGTATTTCCATATTTCCAGAGCTTCTGTTTTCTTACAGGCAAATGAGGACTAGTGGTAAAGGAAGTATTTTTGCATTAGTTTTTCATGATTTTCTTTGTCTTTCCTACCATTTCTCCCCCTCGTCTCTGCCTTACCCCTCACGCAGGCTACCAGGGTGCTACGTGTGAGCAGAAGGTGGACCCGTGTGCCTCCAGCCCCTGTCACAATAACGGGACATGCTATGCCCAGGGCCCCGGCCCCCTGGGGTTTGGCTGTAGCTGCACAGCAGGCTTCACCGGGCCTACATGTGCCCAGCTGGTGGACTTCTGTGCCCTAAACCCATGTGCCCACGGGGTCTGCCGCAGTGTGGGCAACAGCTACAGGTGTCTGTGTGTCCCAGGTGAGCTGCAGTGTCAGACATCTCAGTGACTGATGCTTTTAGTAAAGGCTTTGGGTGCTGCTGACCGTTGATGTCAGGGTGTTGTGGGTATCAAGAGCCAAATTCAGCCAAAGTCAGTTGAAGATGGGACAGGTCACCTCGTTTTTAGCCATTTGTTTAACAGTATAATAAAAAGAGCATGTGTTCTGTGGCTTCTTTGTGCCATTTTTCACACATATATTATATCATATATTTGAATATGTCATTGTCACATGCTTTGTGTGCCATGGAACTCGATAGAAAATGAACTTATTTTCAAGATACAGTAAATGTGCTGCATGTGAATCTCACTCACATGAATGGTCTCTATTGGATTATGAGACAAAGGGCACCAGGACCCCACCTACCTACCAGAGCAGTTGCCCCTGCTTCTCTGCATCACTCGCTGTCGTCTTTCTCTGTGGTATTTTGCAGTTTAAATTTGTGCTGTTGGTTGAAAACAGATCCTGAATTTGCTCGAGATTAGAGGCTGTCAAAAACTTTTCCCAAAGCTTCCTGCCACAGCAGATCCATCCTGACACTTCTTTCCAAAACATTATACAAAACTATAGTATACTAAACAAAATATTCTAGAAAGTCGTTGTAAAGGTTATATTTTTCAGGTTAAATGCAATGCTTTTCTGCTCAGTTAATTCATCAGTTTAATTAAATAAACAAATCAAGTATCCAATCAGATTTGTTATTGGAATATACTCCCTTCTTTTGACTCTTGGACTTTCCAACAAGAAATAAAAATATAAGTAACTTCAAACAGAAGCTATTGCTTTAGGTGTGCCGATTTAGAAATTCATCCATGACTATAAGATACCTTCTGAGTCTTATTCCGAATCTTTCAGCACTTTAAATCTGGCTTCAGCACTAAAAGATTAGTGATAAGTAAAAAGACGGTGACTTTTAGCATTGGCTCAGACTCAGAGTAGCAGTAACTATTGTCTGGCTGAATGATGAGTTATTTTTAGATCGCGGCTCAGGCACCGACGCCTCTGTGATGAACTCAATTGAGTGGAATGATGACTTATCATTATCCATTGTCTTGCAATTACTTTGCTGCGATGGTGAGATAGATGACTTTCCCAGTGGCCCATAAACATAATTTGATACTTTGCCCCTTCTGTTCGCTGTTTATACCATCTGTCAGTCGAATGTATAAGCCAGTCACCATCTTGATCTCTTATTGGATGCTCCCATTCATTCTCCCGCATCAGCAACACTGAGTTGCTTCTTTTGCTGTATATCCTTGAAAATATTCAGTTTATATAATTTTTTGTTCCTTATGTTATCGACCTCTCTTGATAGTTTTGTCTCTGCAGGACATGAATGAATACAGCTGTTCTTTCTCTTCCTGATTTGGTTTTGGAATGATGTATTTCTATTAAGCTTTGAAATATTGTAGCTCTTGCAGAGAAAACCATTTCCTACATATTTTAACAGAGTTATTGCTTGCCTTGATAGACCCTCCATAAGTCATGTTCTTCATGTTTATTCAAATGCTTTTACTCTTGCTGTGTCCTTGCTTTCCAATTATTCACATTTCTTACATTTCCTTCCCTACAGCCTCAGTCTTATTTTTTTCTCTTTTGCATTTCTTTCATATTTTTTTCTCCTTCTTGTCCCTTTGTCCTTCCTCCTCTTTATCTTCCAGCCGTTTACCTCACCTCATTTCCCTCTCATCCTCTGTTGTCTGGTTGCCATGGTGAAGCAGTTGTCTTACATTGTGTGTGTGTGTTTATGTGTATGCACCAATCCATTGTCTGTGCCTGTGACTATTGTGGTTGAGCAGATGCTGCCAGCCAATAAAATGTCTCTACTCAGACGGCCCGGTCTAATGGGATTGGTGAAATTGGTGATTTGCAATTAGAATCCCAGACACACACACACACA